ACACCTTCGATAGTGTTTCCTCCTATTCCAGAGGGTGCGATCTCCCATTTGAAACCTTTGTATGTTAATGCTCACATTTGCGGGAAACCAATCACAAAGGTTTTTGTGGATAATGGAGCAGTCTTTAATGTTATGCCATTGAAGACTCTCAAGAAGCTAGGGAAAGGAATTCATGATCTGTCTCCTGTGGAATTCGAAATGACAAGTTTTACAGGGCAGCCGACCAAGCCTGAAGGCATGATGGTTGCCACAATTGAAGTCGGACCAAAAAAGATTTCCACTGTTTTCTTTATTGTGGACGCAGATACTACATACTCTCTCTTGCTGGGAAGAGACTGGATTCATGCTTCTCAATGTGTGCCATCAACACTGCACCAACAGTTAATGTTCTGGGAAGGAAATCAGGTTTTTAAAATGGAAGCAAATGACAACCCATTCGATGTATCAGAACAAGTTGAAGAGTCAGTGTTTTATTCCAGTCATTTGGCTCCGATGTCTCAGTTGTATATGGCCAGGGAATACCCAAACAAGGGTTATAAAGTCACTGGCCAGAACTCGATGTTCTATTAAAAGAACAACTTTATTGTATGGCTCATGATAAAGCCACACCTATTCTCGTATAATTTGTTTGTTATGGGTGATACAAGTTTAGAAGTATGTAGTTCTCTTATTAATAAGTTCTATTTAAAGCAGCTATTACATAAAGCAGAAAATAGTAAAGAGATTCTTGATGTTCACCTCCAAGAAGATGAACAATTTCGTTGGCCTGATTTATTAGAAAAAACAGAACCAACAGCTTCATCACAAGACCCATTATTGGAGTTTAATTTAGGAACCGAATTGGTTCCAAAAGTGATCAGGCTAAGTGGTTATTTGTCTAAAGAGCAACAGACAATGATGCTCGAAGTTATTAGAAACAACATTGATTGTTTAGCATGGGATTATTCAGAAATGCCTGGTTTGACAAGAAGTCTAATAGAGCATCGATTGCCTATCAAGGAAGGTTGCAAACCTTACAAACAACCTCCAAGGCGAATGAGCCCGGATCTGATGCCTCAAATCAAGGAAGAAATCCAAAAACTTCTTAAAGTGGGTTTCATTCAGCCTTGCCGTTATGCGGAGTGGCTGGCTAACATTGTGCCAGTGGTCAAGAAAAATGGTAAGATAAGGATATGCATCGATTTCAGGGATTTGAATCTAGCTACCCCTAAGGATGAATATGTGATGCCTATGGCCGACATGTTGATAGATGCAGCAGCAGGGCATAAAGTCCTTAGTCTGATGGATGGTTATGCAGGTTATAACCAAATATTTCTGGCAGAAGAAGACATTCCTAAGACAGCATTCAGGTGCCCAGGGGCTTTAGGTATTTATGAATGGACAGTCATGCCATTCGGGTTAAAGAATGCAGGGGCAACTTACCAAAGAGCCATGAATTCAATCTTTCATGATTTAATTGGCAAATCTATGGAAGTTTATATTGATGATGTTATTGTTAAATCTTCCAGTTTTGACGAACATTTGAGAAATCTTGAAGAGGCATTCGAAAGAATGAAGAAGTACAAGTTGAAGATGAATCCAACCAAATGTGCTTTTGGAATATCAGCCGGGAGCTTTTTAGGATTTTTAGTTCATGAGAGAGGAATTGAAATCGATGCCAATAAGGCTAAAGCCATTCTTGACAGTCGGCCACCCAAGACGGTTAAAGAAATCCAAAGTCTTTTGGGTAAGGTGAATTATTTGAGGCGTTTCATTTCTAATGCTGCTGGCAAGGTCAAACCCATTACTAAATTGTTGAAAGCTGGAAAAAATGCTTTTGAATGGGGTCCCGATCAACAGACGGCTTTAGATGCTATCAAGCAGGCATTGGTTCACCCTCCAGTCTTGATGCCTCCTAAACAAGGTCGGCCGCTCAAACTTTATTTGGCAAATACATATGAAGTGGTTAGCTGTTTATTGGCACAGGATGGTGATGACGGGAAGGAAAGGGCAATCTACTATCTCAGTAAAACCCTTACAGGACCAGAATTGAATTACACTATGCCAGAAAAAATGTGTTATTCATTGGTCTTCGCTTGCACTAAACTCGAGCATTATTTGCTGCCCAGAAGAATTGAGGTCATATCAAAGGTGGATCTCATCAAATTGATTTTGCAGAGACCTACTATGAAGGGCAGACTCATGAAGTGGGCCATCAAATTGGCTCCTTTTGATCTTCAACATTCCCCTTTGAGGGCAATCAAGGGACAAGCAGTAGCCGACTTCTTAGCAGAATTTTCACAAGTCGGATATTCTCTTTGTGATAGTGTCCGACCACTTAGTTGTTCATCATATTTGAATAATCTACAGGTCGGATGTGTACCTTATATAAGTACCAGAACATGGTTGATGTTCTTTGATGGTTCTACCTCTGGAAACAAATCAGGGGCAGGGGTCTTTTTGCAAGGACCTGACGGTCAAAAGATCAACTTACAACTACGATTGGAAGCCATGACCCATAATTCGGCAGAATATGAAGCTTTAATTTTGGGTTTGGAGGCTTTAATAGCCAGGAAGGTCCAGTCTGTAATCATAAGAGGGGATTCTCAACTAGTAATCAACCAGGTAAACAATCAATATGTTTGCAATTACCCTCATCTTCGCAGATACAGGGACATTGTGGGTCGGTTACTGACAAAAATCTCAGAAGTAATAATTGAGTTCATTCCGAGGAAAGAAAACCAACGTGCTGATGAGTTGGCTCAAAGGGCCTGTAAAGGAATTCTGGAGGATATGTGGTCGAAGGTCAAGTCGGGCATAGAAGGAAAGACAGACCCAATATGTGATCGAATGGTCGGGCAGGAGACTGTCGGACAGGAGCCCGACTGCGTAGTTACTGTCGGACAGGAGCCCGACTGCGTAGTTACTGTCGGACAGGAGCCCGACGGCGTAGTTACAGTCGGACACAAAGATACCAGTGAAACAGTGACCGATTGGAGAACAGAGCTTATCATGTATTTACAAAATCCAGGTGCGAGTGTTTCAATTGCGACACGATTGAAGGCTTTACGTTTTCAATTGATAAATGGACTTTTGTATAAGAGATCATTTGAAGGTTTACTTTTGAAATGTTTGGGGTCTAAAGAAGCTCTAGAGGTAATGACAGAAGTACATGGTGGGATATGTGGAGCTCATCGGGCAGGTCTGAATATGCGATGGGCCATTCATCGTTCGGGTTTTTTCTGGCCAAAGATTTTTGAAGATTGCATACAATTTGCCAAAGGCTGCCAGGAATGTCAGAGACATGGAAATTTAAACCATTTGCCAGTAACCGAATTGCAATTTTTGGCAAAACCATGGCCTTTTAAATCATGGGCTATGGATATTATTGGTAAGATACATCCTGCTTCATCGAAACACCATTGTTTCATATTGGTCGCGACTGATTACTTTACCAAATGGGTAGAAGCAGTTGCTTTGAAAAACGTGGATCAGAAAGAAGTGATAGACTTCGTTTTGAACCAAATTATTTACAGATATGGTATTCCTCAGTCTATAACAACCGACCAGGGCCTGGTTTTCACAGGGGAAAAGTTTTCTAGTTTCTTGGCAGAATTTGGTGTCCGATTACACCATTCGTCACCTTATTATCCCCAGGCCAATGGACAAGCGGAAGCAGCAAATAAGATCATTATTGGGATTATAAAGAAGATGGTTGAAGGGAACCCAAGAAAGTGGCATTTGTTATTGTCTCGGGCTTTATGGGCACATAGGAATACCAGAAATACGGCCACAGGGTTCTCACCGTACCAACTCACTTTTGGCCAAGATGCTGTTTTACCAGCCGAGATCCGAGTATCGTCTGGCCGAACAGAATTTACTGATGGTGATCTTACAAAAGAATACCAACAACTTATGTTGCAACAGTTGGAGGATTTGGATGTTAACCGACTCCATGCAATAGGTCGAAGTGTGAAACAGAGTGAAATCAGAGCAAGGAATTACGGAAAGAAAGTTCTTCACAGGACATTCCAAAAAGGAGACCTAGTCTGGAAGACCATTCTTCCTACATATAAGAAAACTGACCAATTGGGAAAGTGGTCACCGAATTGGGAAGGACCATACATTATTCAAAAAGATATTGGGAATGGCGCTTTCATTATTGTAAACCATGAAGGTAAGAGAGTACATGATTGTATTAATGCTAAATATCTGAAGAGGTATTATCCTGCCTTTTCAGATAACAAAACTGCCTGAAGCAAACTATTATTCAGAACCCATTTGTGGGGTTCGAACCTATTTAAAGGTTCATTTCTGTTAGTCATCATTTATTTGTGAGAAATTTTCTGCTTCTGAATCAGAATTTTCATCCCAGTGAGTGGATATTAGTTCTGGTTCTTCTTCAATAAGATCTTCCAAATCTGGTCGGTACCTCTCCCATTGGCTTTGCATTTCGTCTAAATCTTGATTGGTACGTGCTTGCATGTCTGTTATGGCTTGATATTCACGGTCAACAATGGTACGCAATCTTGAAAAGACTTTTCGTTGATTGGAAAAAATATTATCCCAACCAAGGTCTGGAAGTATGGTTGCTGCGTGATTTTCAATCAATTCCATGTGATGATGGAGGTCAGGAATGCGGCTAAGGATGTCATGAAGAGGTTCATATCCCTCAATGATTTTTTCCATTAGACGGATGACGCGATGAATGGTTCTTCTACCTCGTTGGGAGAATCGGAATTTGAAGTCTAGTTGCTTGAGTATATGTAACAAGTCTTCTGCATGGCCTCCAATAGGGTGATTACCTACAAAGAAGGGTTGAAGAACACCTTCCCAGTTGCTTGATGGGACATGAGGTCGGTCATTCGCCATGTTTGTTAACACTTCAAGTGTTTTGGTTTCAACATATGCCTTGGAATTTGGTGTTAACATTGTTCTTTTAAGGGAGGAGTTTGTTTCGGTTCCTCAAAAGTTGGAAATTGGACGGTGATCCTTGTTTTGAGAGAAGAAGGAAAAAATATATTACTAAGTCAAATGTTGTTACAGAGGGGGAAGTATTACAAAAGTGCCCCTAGGGCAGTTTTTATATTTGTCCATTTGACTTCATCCCTGGATAGCCTTCTGGTATTAGCAGCCATCTGATATCTTCTGATGAATTGGGATCGAGCTTGGGTTTTTAGCTCTTGATCCAATTCGGCCTCGTTCTTTGTATACTTCTCAAGCAGACGCTGTTCATTGGTAATTTGATTATCCAGGATAGACTGTTCCTTCCTTAGCTCCCGCAATTCTGCCTCCTTTTTCTGAATGGATTCATCAACTTGAGCCTTCGTGCTAAGGAGACCGCCCAACCTTCCAGTAGTTTGCTGAAGGGATTCTCGGGTCTTAGCCAAAGAATTCTCCAGTGTTGTTTGATCGACGACAGGCTGGGGGGTTTCGGCTGACAGGAGTCCAATAACTAACACTTCAGTCTTGAGCTCCGTAAGTCTCTCCATCAGCCGATGCAGAATGGGGACGGTTGGCGATTCCGTTGGAGTGTAAAAAAGAAGGCCACCAACCGTCTGAATGAGATTGTCCAATAAGTCGGATCTTAATTCTGAAAGGGGATGGTTAATGGCCTCGGTGAATATAGTTTGGGCCTCCGCTGGAACCGGAACAGTCGATAGGATAGCTAAGTCCGAAGGCCCCTGCAGGTCTTACAGTTTCAATAAGTATTCCAAGGGAGGTGCAAAATTATTCAGATAAGATATGTGTCACCTCTGGGCGAACTGCTGTCAGTGAAGGGGGCAACAAAGAGGTCGGTCGAGTAGGGCGGACAGCTGGTATAATAGCAGCCGACTCGTCGGCTGCTGCGAATGGTCGCTGAGGTGCCGACCTGGGTCCCTATGGAAAGTAGTATATAAAACAGTTAGTGTTTTTTAGAAAGAAACATTGTGGCATGAATTGGTTTAATCTTACCAAATTCACAGAAGTCTCCGAATCGGACGAAGAAAGTTCTTCTAATTCTGGAGGTTGGGCTGCCACAGGTGGTTCTTCTGCCTGCCACTCGATTGCTGGAGGTAGCGCCGCTGCTGGCTGGGCGGCTGCAGGTTGGGCAGCTGCATCTAGAGCCACTGCAGCCGGTATCTCATGAGCAACTGGGATAGCCGCGGCCGAGGCACTTTCGGTTTCCAGTGCAACTGCATCCGATTGGACTATTTCGGGATCAGCAGCAGCAGGGATGTCGTCTTGAGGGTCAGCTTCGGCAAGGGCAGCTGGTTCTTCCTTCGAAATAGATGAGTCTGATGCCATGTATGGCGGTTGACCCATCTGGGAAGTAGTCCCCTCGCTGTCTGGAGAGACCCCTGCTGCTGATGCGATTAGTGAAGGTGTCTGTGAAAAATTAGGGAAATGTTGTTGTTAACTATACCAGGGTTGATCATCAGAATCTTGAGTATTGCTGACGAGAGGACTTACTGGTTCTATAGGCAGTGCTGGTAAAGATTGCCTCCTGGTCGGGCGCCTGGCCCGACCGCTCCTCGGTGCAGGAGGAAAAGTTTGCCTCCTTGTCGGGTCCTCCGCCCGGCTGCTCATTGGCAAAGTGAGAAGTGGAGTAGGGGTTTGGCGAGGAAGTGCCTGAGTCTAGACCAAAGGTATGATTGATTGGTCGGCTGGGGTTGGCGTCGTTTGTGTGGTCGGTGTTACCAAGGTCGGTTCTGGTGAATGAAATAAGTGAAATCAAAGTTAAGATATAGTGAGTTGGTTCACGGTTTTCAGAAAAATTACCTATTCGGGGTCGGGTCCTTGCTGACGTCCTAGTAGTTCCAAGGTCCGCCGGAGCTTGCTGGTCGGCCCCAGAGGTCGGGGGTGTTTGCAGCTGGGAAGCTTTCCTTTTCCGCATTGGAACGCTAGATCCGATTCCCGGGGCGGCTGTTTGTTGCTGAGTGCTAGTATGTCTAGCCGCCCCTAGAACCAATCCTTGGGTGGGAAGGAGTACGTTCAGCAACCGATCCTCATCAGGAGAAATCAGGGGCCATACTACCGACCACCATTCATTGAATGTATCTACAGTCTCAGGGTTGGAGCGGAAAGGAATATAAGAATTGGAAACTATATACGTGGTGAGCTGGGAGATATAAGAAGGGATTGAATTAGGTAGGACTCGTCGGTCAGGACTTTGAAAAATTATATGAGGACAAGCGACGGGTCCAGGGATACCTTGGCAACAGCCGAACTGGCGCGCCATGAATTGAGGTTCATAATTAAAGGTGCAAAAAGTTTTTTGCCCTTTTTTATCAAGTTTTTTGCTGCTAAAAAGAGACCTGGGTTTGAGGGCAACGTCCCAGGCAAAAGGATAGGTGGGATGAGGACAAGGCTCAGGAGTTGGAAGAGGATTTGGTACCGGAAAGGGCCAAAAGTGGTCGGGAGCATAACCCGCATATTTTTTATACATAGAAAATCGCGAGTTACTGCGGGTATCTGTCAAAATTGTGGTTATTATTGGATCGGAGGATTGGAGTTTACTGCGTCCTGAGCAGAGTCGGTTGAGGGCTAATCCCAAATGTTTTTCGGATATTGGCATAGTGGGCGGAGATCCTAAGTTGAACGCGTTGGGGAAGTAAAGACGGGACCAAAGTTCTAAAAACCAAAAAGGACCCGATGCGGCAGTGTCTAATTTTCTATTATCATTATCTGTTAAACGAAGGCTAACCCTGGTGAGTCCTTCAAACAGATTGGCTAAAAACAGGGTGCCAAGGGAAAAGAACCTACCTGACGCGATATGAATGGCCAGGTCGAGATGAGAAGAAAGAACGCATTTAGAAGGGGAAACAATGACGTACCTACAAAGCCAAAAAAGAATAAAGGCAGTATGCTCCTGGTCGGTCACGGGGGTCCCTGGAGCCCCTTGCTGGTCGGTCGCGAACTTTGTCCAGCCCCATTCCTTCACGCCTTGTAAAGACCATCCTGGATGGTCTTCTGGTGGCTCCTGCCCATCTAGGGCTCCCATCACAGGGTCTTCACCTACGACTGGGAGATGCGCGATCATTGCCACATCCATGAGGGTCGGACCAAAGGGGCCCGACGGTAAGAGAAAAGTCCCATTTTCCGCATTCCAGAAGGCAGACATGGCTAGGAGCACCTTCTCGTGCAGATTGATCGGCATGGTGGACAATAGTATTGCTTGGTCGATTTTTTGAGATCGCCATTGGGTCTGGAAGTGTTCTGCTACCCGTCGATACCAAGAGCGGTAAGGATCTTATGGGTCTGTGAGATGGGTTTTGATGCTGTCTCGGATGCGAACTGCTTGGTAGTTAGGATTGTTGATAGCCAAGGAATTTCGGGATTCCAAAACTTCCCTCATCCGATTTGAGTCTTCAGGAGTAGTGCAGTATGGGCGATTCGTCGGAGTTAGTACTTTCGAGGCTGAAAACGGGCCCTCTGGGAGGGTTCCGTCGAAGGGAAGGGAAGGAATGTATCGATTCGCCATGGTTGGAGTGGTTGAGATTGTGATTCACAAAGGCTCGTATTGCGGACAAGGAAGTTACTCAGGAGTGTTGCAGTAACTGGCGCAGTTGCTAAGGGAATTTTTCAAGAGGGTGGTGATTTATGAACTTCCAAACATCGATTGATAAATGGCGTTTGAAAGTCCCTTGGCGGCGGGCAAGTTGTTACGTATGAAAATTAGAATTCGGTGAAAAAGCCCAAGGTAAAAAGAAGAATGGGCCTGGCAATAGAGTTGATTGCACTGGCTGAAGGACACCGTGAGGAAATCAAGGAAAATAGATTTATTTCTAAGGAAAATTCAGGACGGAAGGACCTCAGGTCGGAAGGTCTTCAGGTCGGAAGGTCTTCAGGTCGGGGGGAAGTCCTCAAGACGGAAAGTCCTCAAGACGGAAAGACCTCAGGTCGGAGGGTCTTCAGGTCGGGGGGAAATCCTCAAGACGGAAAGTCATCAGGACGGGAAGTCCGCAGGTCGGGAGGCCCTCAGGACGGGAAGTCCGCAGGTCGGGAGGCCTTCAGGTCGGGAGGTCCTCAAGACGGAAAGTCATCAGGACGGGAAGTCCGCAGGTCGGGAGGTCCTCAGGACGGAAAGTCCGCAGGTCGAGAGGCCCTCAGGTCGGAAAGTCCACAGGTCGAAAAGTCTTCAGGGCGGAAAGTCCTCAGGTTGGATAGGTCGGGAAGTTCTCAGGTCGGAACTCTGCGGCGGGACCAACAAGTCGGATGGTTTGTTAGTCGGGATGTCTGTAGCTAATCCAAACAAGTCAGATGGTTTGCAAGTCGGGAGGATTGGCAGTCGGACCAATACGGTTGTAGATTGGCAGTCGGGCCAAAAGGGCGGAAGGTCTGTGGTCGGCTCAAAGAGTGAAATATAGGGATAATTTTGGTCTGCTGAGGACACGTGTCAGCAGGAGAAGGGTTGGAAGACGGTTGGGAAGGAGACGTTGTAACCGTTCGGGCGACAGTTTTCAGTACAGTTTCCCAGAAAATATTTAAGGGTTTGGATCATCATTTGGCAGGGAATCTTCAATCAACTTCAACAAAGCAAAGTCAGATTTGGGGATCACCACTTTAAATTTCAGTCTTTTATTTTCCAGTTTATTTTCTGTACCATACAGTGTTTAGAGATTCCTAATCTCAGGCACTAATTAATCAAGTTTAAGGATATTTTCTATATCTTTGAATTTTACTTTATTTTTGTTGAAAAATTACATCAACAATAGCGATGGAGGTTCGAGCAATAATATTGGTGAAGGGGAAGGCTTCCGCTGGCCTGACCTTCTAGAGAAAACAAAGTCTTCTCTGTCAACTCAGGATCCACTCATTGAATACAATGTAGGAACCGAACGAACACCCAAGATGGTCAGGGTTAGCGGATTGCTGTCCAAGAAACAATAGGAGCAAATGGTGGCAGTAATTCAAGATCATATAGATTGCCTGGCATGGGATTATTCAGAAATTCCCGGATTAGTGCGCGAGCTAATAGAGCATAGATTACCCATTAAAAATGGCTTCAAGCCTTACAAACAGCCACCAAGGCGAGTTAGTCCCGAGCTACTTCCACAGATTAAAGAAGAGATTGAGAAATTGTTGAAAGTTGGATTCATCCGACCCTGTCGGTATGCGGAATGGTTGGCCAACATTGTCCCTGTAACCAAGAAGAATGGTAAAATTCGGTTCTGCATTGATTTCAGAGATCTCAATCTGGCTACCCCCAAAGACGAGTATGTAATGCCCGTAGCAGACATGTTGATCGATTCTGCGGCAGGTCATCGAATTTTGAGCCTAATGGATGGTTATGCGGGATATAATCAAATCTCACTAGTGGAAGAAGATATACCGAAACCGCATTCAGATGCCCAGGAGCCTTGGGAATCTACAAATGGACAGTTATGCCATTCGGGTTAAAGAATGCTGGAGCAACTTATCAACAGGCAATGAATACTATCTTTCACGATTTAATTGGGCGGTCAATGGAGGTTTATATTGATGATGTGATCATTAAGTCTACTGACTTTGATACACATCTGGCCGACCTCAAGAACTCTTTCCTTTGGATGAAAAAATATAACCTCAAGATGAACCCAACGAAATGCGCTTTTGGGGTTTCAGCAAGAAACTTCTTGGGTTTTCTAGTGCATGAAACAGGTATAGAGGTGGATGCGAATAAAGCCAAAGCGGTTCTAACAATACGTCCCCCTCGGTCGGTCAAGGAAGTACAAAGTTTACTGGATAAAATAAACTACCTGAGGAGGTTCATATCAAATGCCGTAGGAAAGTTAAAACCTATCACCAGGTTGCTAAAGAATAAAGCAACCGACTTCTCATAGGGTCCGGAGCAGCAGGAGCCATTAGAAGAAATTAAGCAGGCACTAACAAAACCTCCCGTGTTGGTTCCTCCAAGAGGAGACCGGCCTCTTAGACTGTATGTGGCAAACAATTTTAACGTGGTAAGTAGTTTGCTGGCACAAGAATGGGAAGATGGTAAAGAAAGGGCTATTTACTACTTAAGCAAAACTCTAACAAAGCCGGAGCTAAATTATACCATGCCTGAAAAAATATCTTATTCTTTAGTCTTTGCCTGTACTCAATTGGAGCACTATATTTTGCCAAGAGAAACCGAGGTGGTTTCTAAAGTGGACCTGATAAGATTAATTCTGCACAAACCAACAATGCAGGGAAGATTAATGAAATGGGCGATAAGATTAGCTCCATTTTCGCTGTGACATCGACCTATCATGGTAGTGAAAGGACAGGTGGTGGCTGATTTATTGGCTGAATTTACGAATAGTGAGCCAATAGAAAACAAAATGGTACCTTATATAGGTACTAGTCCCTGGAAAATATTTTTCGATAGTTCTCGTTCAAAAGGGAGGTCAGGAGCGGGAGTTGTTTTAGAAGGACTAGGAACTCAGAAGATCAGCCTGCAGCTTCAAATGGAAGAGATGACTCACAACTCTGCAGAGTATGAAGCATTGATCTTAGGCTTGGAAGCACTTGTGGCAAAGGGGGCACAGGCAGTTATTATTTTTAGAGAATCTCAATTGGTCATCAATCAAGTGTTAAGACGGTCGGCTTGTAATTATCCTCATTTATGCCAATATCGAGAATTGGTATATCGCATGTTATATAGAATTGCAGAGGTGGTTATTGAGCATGTACCGAGAACAGAGAATCGACAAGCAGATAATTTGACTCAGAGTGCGTGTCAACCAATATTTGTTGGCAACATTGATACGATTACCAATTGGAGAACATAAATTATTGCCTATTTGGAGGCACCAAATTCTGCGACTCCTGTGGGTATTCGATTGAAAGCATTACGTTTTCAACTTATTGAAGGGGTTCTGTATAAGAGAACCTTTGAAGGAGTATTATTAAGGTGTCTGGGACCGGAAGAATCCATCAAAGTGATGGAAGAAGTTCATGGTGAAGTCTGTGGAGCACACCGAGCAGGATTGAACATGCGATGGGCTATCCACCGTCTGGGGTTGTATTGGCCAAAAATATTTGATGATTGTATCAAATTTGCTAAAGGATGCCAGGAGTGTCAGAGGGAAAATCCATGGCCATTCAAAGCCTGGACGTTGGATGTAATAGGGAAAATCCATCCGGCTTCATCGAAGCAAAATTCGTCCATCCTGGTAGCAACTGATTATTTCACCAAATGGGTAGAGGCAGTCCCTTTGAAGAACGCGACACAGAAAGAAGTGATTGAGTTCGTACTTAATCACATTATTTATCGGTTTGGAATTCCTCACACTCTTACGACCGATTAGGGTTTGATGTTTACCGGGGAATATCAAGTTTTTGGCCGAGTTCAACATCAAATTGTATCATTATTCGCCTTACTACCCACAGGCTAATGGATTGGCTTAAGCGGCAAATAAAATCGTCATCGGCATCATCCGGAAAATGGTGGAGGGAAATCCAAGGAAATGGCATACATTGTTGCCTCAGGCATTGTGGGCCCACCGAAATAGTAGGAATACTTCTACTGGATTTTCTCCCTACCAACTCACGTTCGGGCAAGATGTTGTGCTTCCTGTGGAATTTGTTGTATCTTCACCCAGAGTAGTTAATACAAGGTAACTAATGATGAAGCGTATGTACAAAGAATGTGGCGACGATTGGAGGAAGTGGACACCGAACGATTGAATGCTCTGGATCGAGTGGTTAGACAAAATGAGATCAGAGCTAAGTATTATGGAAAAAGAGTGTCCCCTAAAGTATTTGCAGAAGGAGATTTGGTGTGGAAAACAATTCTGCCTACATACAAGAAAGTTGATCAGATGGGTAAATGGTCCCCGAATTGGGAAGGGCCCTTCATCATTCACAAGAAAATAGGAAACGGAGCTTTTATTATTGTGAATTAGGAAGGAAAATTGGTACATAAGAATATTAACGCCAAGTATCTGAAAAGGTATTTTCCTGCCTTTTCAGAGCACTGTCGTTAATTTTTATTACGAGAAAGCTAAGAACCCTTTAAAGGTTCGAACCCACAGAAAGGGGTTTTATTCATCATCCAAAGGGTGACACAAACATGATCATCTTCTGGTTCAAAAACTTCGTCCCAATTTGCAGAAACCATTTCAGGTTCCTTCTCCAGGAGATCTTCTAAGTCGGGACGATAACGATCCCATTGGTCCTGCATTTCTTAAAGGTCTTGTTGGGTGCGAACTTTCAAATCATTTAAGGTTGAATTAGATCCATTTGTTTGATAAGTTAGTGATAGTTAAGTCTGCTGCATTTAAGGTTGAGTATAGCTGTTTTAGGTTTTTATATTCAATCATGTTTGAATTTGTAATTAGTTGCAGTTTAGGTCTTGTAATGTATTTTTGGTGCTATGTTACTTGGTTATTTGTATAATAATGT